TCATGGATCAAAAAGAGCCGCGCATTGTTCATGGGCAAGCATTTGTTTCAAACCTACCATTTGTAGCATCACGTAGTGGACAAACCATTCCTTATATCATTCACCATTGATTTGACATATATCAACTACGTGTTACTATATCAAAAACCAAACATATCCTTTCACACTTAAGACAAAATGAAAACGACTTAAACAAGCTACAGAGTGAGCAGCTCCACATTGATTAGATATTAGTGTGATCACCTACCCATGATTATGTGCTTGCCCATGCATATGATTCTATGAAAGCTTTAACTACGAGTTGTCAAAAACAGTTAGAAATCTCTCTTTTTAGGTGAGATTAGAGTCCTCTATTAAAACTTTTAGTACTTCACATTCAATTAAGCGATGTGGATGGCTTTTTTTATACTTTCCATTTTGCCCTTTACTTTTAGCTTTCCCCACAAGAAACCCAACACCCTAAATGCCTCTCTGCTCATCTACGCTCTATACTCTATAGTACTTGTTTGTCTTTTCTCTCTGTGTGAGTGGCAATGGATAACATAGAACCATCCTCTAATGGAAACATCCAGACCGAGGAGGAGAATACAAATATGAAGAAGGAACCAGTTTCATTGATTGGTTTGTTTAGCGCCGCAAATAGATTTGATTACTTTTTGATGTTCCTAGGCGGTTTAGGCGCGTGTATTCATGGCGCTACGCTTCCTCTCTTCTTCGTGTTCTTCGGCAAAATGCTAGATTCTCTTGGGAATCTTTCTACAGATCCTAAAGCCATATCTTCCCGCGTTTCACAGGTTTCGCGAAAACATCTATCTGTCTCTCTCTCATTTCTTTCTTGATTTATATGCATAGGTTCATAACAAACTGGTGATATGTCTTTTCCAGAATGCTCTGTACTTGGTCTACTTAGGATTGGTCAATTTTTTATCAGCTTGGATCGGTACGAGCTACATTGATCTGTATCTATAATGTTAACTATGTTTTAGCTCTCTCTTTTTTTTTTMTTTTTTCATGTTTTTGGTTGGAATGGTTTATTGGCAGGAGTTGCTTGTTGGATGCAAACAGGGGAAAGACAAACAGCGCAATTGCGTATAAATTATCTTAAATCAATCTTAGCAAAAGACATTACTTTCTTCGATACAGAAGCTAGAGATTCAAATCTCATTTTCCACATATCAAGTGACGCGATCTTGGTTCAAGATGCAATAGGCGATAAGGTAACCTTTTATTAAAATATGAATTCATTCCAAGGGAAACAAAAAAAAAAAAAAGGAATGTAACTTGATGAAATGTTTTGTTTTTGTTTCAGACAGACCATGTTTTGCGGTACCTATCTCAGTTCATTGCCGGATTTGTCATCGGTTTTTTGTCGGTATGGCAACTTACGCTGCTCACATTAGCAGTGGTTCCATTGATAGCAATTGCAGGAGGAGGGTATGCTATAATCATGTCCACAATCTCAGAAAAGAGTGAAGCTGCTTATGCTGATGCAGGAAAAGTCGCAGAAGAGGTTTGTTTCAAAACGCTAATTTGAGTGTTTGCGTTTACGTGTGAAAGAAGTTTTCGCATTTCAAGAAAAATAATTTTATTTTTCAGTTTTCCATAACATGCTATGACAAAATATTCTATTCTTAACACTTGGATTGATACTAATTTTCTATGTATTTTCAGGTTATGTCACAGGTGAGGACAGTGTATGCATTTGTAGGAGAAGAGAAAGCTGTAAAATCTTACTCAAATTCTCTCAAGAAAGCTCTAAAACTCGGTAAAAGGAGCGGTCTTGCTAAAGGCTTAGGAGTAGGATTAACATATAGCCTCC